GTGACAGACAGTATCTTCCAAATATGGCTGAGCATTTTCTCTGGTCACATGTTCTTACATCCTCCCCATCAAGAGGGGCACCCACCTACCCTCCCCTGGAACCCAGCAAGACACCATGCTGCCTTGAGGGGAGCACTAGGTCACAAGTGGGGTCCCGTGCCTTGAACCAAACCCCAAGGTGCGAGGAAGCTTATTATCCAGTTTATTACAATAAATAGCATATAAAACTAATCATTACATTTGCCATAAATACCCCTTGAGGTCGTTGACTACCAAGTGATTATCTGTGATAAAAATTTAAACAGGAAAACATTCTTGCAATTTATTAAACACAGCTCTGCTTCCTTTGAGGAATGCACACAGACTTCTTTCTGACTTTAACAGGTGATGCTCACTGTAGGAGACAGGACACGTGTTAACTCACCTATTACTCACAGGCAGTTCTACTATCAGCCCTACTTAACACGTGAGGAAACCAAGACCCAAAAAGGAGTACGCTGCCCGGACTCACACAGCTAGAAGGTGGTGGAGCTATACTACCTCCCGGAGAAAACGAGACATTTAAACTCACTAGGTCTCACTTCCCATGTGGGCAGCTGGGAAGTTCCCAGTTAGATGTGAACTTCAACCATCGCAATTGCTGCTTGTTGACATATGTGCGCTCTTACTTACTTGATCTTGACTTCATGATTTTTTATATTTCACTGTTTCCTTGTGTGTTTTCTTACTGTAAACCAGCTCAAGCTTTGTGAAATAGACACACACATATACATGCATATATATAGATATATACTTAATATATATAATACACCCTATATTAGGGTATATTATATATAATAGTATATATATAACATATATTAATATGTTAGTATTATATTATACACAATATATTAATATATAACATATTATATATTATTATTATATAATACCTACATATTAAATGTTTCTAATACAAATACTTTTTTCCTAAACATTAAACACAGATGATTCTATGTCCATTATTTGAGCAGTGAACTAGTGCCCGTTTTCCCAGTGATTTTCAATAGGATTTTGTCCTCGTGTGCACGATGTATGTGACTGAGCCAGGTAAAGTGCAACAACGGCAGCAGGAGGGCGACGGCCTCGTGACCCTATGACTGCAGAGCTGCACTGGAGTTCATCTAATTCGACAGGTACTCATCGGTTGGCTCTGATTCTGAGACATGATCACGTCTGGAAGGAACCTCAGTCCTTCTGGAAAGAGCAGGGTGCCCTCTTCTGGAGACTTCTCTCCTTCGTCAGTGTAATTAGGGAGACCTAAGGCTCCCCTCACCTCCACTGAGCTACCTGCCCTTGTTTCAGCCTGGGGACTAGTGAACTCTGGAGGGAAGGAGGGAGGAGGAGAGGGGTGAGGGTGGACGTTCCGCTTTCCTCCCTGCCTGGTTTTCAAATGACGGGGACAGTGGGTGCCATGTGTGTGGGTGTGCGGTTCAAAAACAGCTCAGTAACTGGCCCACTGCAAAATACCCTGGTTCCCCAAAGCTCAGACAACACACGGTTCTCTAGGCTACTGCGCCTTAAAATGTTTTCTTCCTCTTTGGGTAACCAGGCAAAACAGTCCTGAAGTATAGCAACACACTGTCTGAAAAAATGACAGGAAGAGATGTAAAAACAAGCTATTTGCTTAGATCTAAAGCAATCCTTCAGTGGGATTTCCCCCATGAAATGAAAATGTAAATAAAACTTTTAAGTGCATTGCTAAGTAAATGACCATCTCTGGCCATCACAAAAATATGGAGGAAGTTTGTCTGGGTTTAGTTGTGCAAATTGTGGTTTCGAGTCTGCAGTGGGTAAGCCGGCAACATAGGGCACCTGTGCCACAGTCAGTCCCCGGCTGCAGACTTCTCTTAGACTCTCCAATTCAGGCCTCCATTGGGACTCTTACCAGCTGAAGTACCACACTACTTTCTCCGGCATTCACAGGGAACTTGAGTCTGTGTCCTATAGAAATGTGTTAGGTAAAGAATAATGGCCTTCTCAATATTCCTCACACCCCCCAGTTCCTCTAAAACGGAGACAGAATGATTACCAGGAGCTGGAAGATTCTTGATAAATGGTTGCTGATGACTCAGGGCTCACAGAACATCATGAAGGCACGGATTCCTATCACACTCAGGAATTTCCATCTAGTCAAGATAAGACCTTTTCGTAAAGTGGGAGGGAGCTGCTGATTTCATCTGGAGTGACATTTGTACAATACCCCATAATTTAAAAAGAATTCTCATATATATTCTCCAGGATTATGTAGTCAAGGTTGAGAGCCAAGATTCTTTTAGCTTCTCTTTCCCTCGTCACTCGGCTCCTTTAGACTACACCTTTCTGTGGATTCCAGGAAAGTGTTAAGAACGCAAGATTATTAAGCAGACACCCGCCCGCTCCTGGGAGCCTCTCGAGTCTATATTACTCAGGATTTCTGGGCACACAACAACAGGAACCCAGGGGGCATCCCAGGCTACCCCTACTCGTGGTCAGAGGAAGGGAGGATGCCTCCAGACAGCAAACTCCTCACACTTCCCTCTGCCATGACTCAGCCTGAATCCAGCAGCAGCTGTACACGTGGGAAGGTGGTGGTGAAGGAAGGGTTCCTAATGACTAATGGCCGAGAGCTCAGCAGGTGGGAGCTACACTCACGCAGCAGATATGTGAGCCTCCCTTAGTGTCTCTCACACTGGGACATCCCAGTCAACAAAACAGGCGGAAGTTTGCTTGAGGAAGTGTTCTTCCCATTAAAAGACCAATCTAACACAAACATTGAACATGTGGTACACCTGAAACTGATATAAGGTATGTCAATTACACCTCAATAATAAAAAAAGACGAGTCTGAGTTTGTGATGATTGAAATATTTGCATTTCCATTGGTTTTCACATTCAACTCTAGATAATAACTCTCCAACTTGAATATCTATTTGAAAAGGTTAAAGACAGCTGCCTCTGAGGGTGCTTCAGGAATGATACTATGTCATAATTTAAGGAAAAGGCTATTACAGAAGACCTTTTTCATGTTATATTGAATATACATTATATACATGCATATGTATATGTGTGGTGTGTGTGTATCCGAGAGTAAGAGAATTTCTGACATTATTATGAATAGTCCTAAAAGCAATTAGCCAGGGGAATAAGATAAAGATGATGTTTGCTTTAAAAATAAGTAAGCTTAGCCATAATAATTCTAAAACTTACTCTTATTCATATATAAAACCTAAAATTGGACATATCCATTTTGTCATTTTCTTTTATGTGTTTATATATGTGTAGCTGGAATATAGGAGTAAAAAGACAATTTTTTTTTTTTTTGAGGAAGATCGGCCCTGAGCTAACATCTGCCAATCCTCCTCTTTTTGCTGAGGAAGACTGGCCGTGGGCTAACATCTGTGCCCATCTTCCTCCACTTTATACGGGATGCCACCACAGCATGGCCTGACAAGCGGTGCATCTGTGCGCGCCCGGGATCCAAACCAGCGAACCCGGGGCGGCCACAGCAGAGTGCGAGCACTCAACCACTTGCACCACCGGGCCGGCCCCAAAAAGATAATTTAAAGAGACCTTTACTTTAGAGGTTTACAGATGGATTTATTCTTAAAATCATCGACACTCAGACATTCCATTCAAATTCGCAGACTGTCTTCCCTCTACATTCTCAAGAGGGCAGGCTGCACCTCACCACCTGGGCTGCGTCTTCCACTCCCTCCTCTCCCTCTGCCCCTAAGGAATGGGAACCCTACTACCGAAAGGAGTGGATTGTGCTCAGGCAAGCCCTCAAGAAAATTCCTATGAAAATCAATTTAAGGCACGTAGAAACTAGGAGAGCATATCGACATCCTTTCACACTCGCCTGATTTCCTCATTGTTTTCGGTCTCTGGGCCTCTGAGTTGTGTTGATTTTCATGGAAGCTTAAGATATCGAGAAAGAGGGCAGCAGAACTCCTGTAATTATGTGTGCTTGTTCAAGGATGGAATTAGAGAAAAGGAAGGGATTTTTGAAAAAAAAACAAGTATTTGAGGAACAAAAACTTGGGATGGATTTTCCTGCCTCACAAGTGAGATACAAAGAAACTCTTTCCACAGATGAGTGGTGACCCAGCCAGGGAACAGGGCAGGAGGCCTGTTTGCCTTGAGCATCATCACCTGCCAGCGGGGCTGACCTGGTTAAAGGAATGCTTATTTTAGGAGCCAGAAAATCGCTCCCTTTCCTTTGAAGGAGCAGTGAAATCTCGGGGTCTGAGCAGGTTGCATGCTGCCCTTCAGTTCTCACCACCTTGGGGACACGGGGAGAAGAGAAAAGGGCCACAGACAGCTCTGCTCCACGTCTCTCAAGCCGCTGAGCTTGGGCAAGTCACTGAGCATCCCCGTCACACGGGCAGAGGTGGACCCAACAGCGTGATGGTAACAACCAACGAGAACCTGTCCACTCTCCCCCGGGGGAGCAGAAACTAGATGGATGACAATATGTAAAGGCAACTTATGTTACTAGGGTACTATGAAAAATAAACTTTTATAGAAAACAGTTATTTCCCAACACCTCAAGTCATTCTTTGTAGTTGAAATAAACACCACTGTATCTAGGCTTTGGGACAATTTCACTTCCTCATTAGTTGCATTTTACTGGCACCATTAGGGTTTCTAACGCCCACACACAAAGGATCAAATAGATGATTGCAGAAATACCCTACAGTAAGGGAAAATCTGGGAAGTCTCGAGCATCTGAAAAAGGCATGCAAACAAACCCAGATGGGTCAGACAGCACGGTCCACAGGGCAGTCTTGTCGGGGGAGAAGGGGATTGCAAGAGGCTGGTGAGGGGGGCTCACTTTCCATATTTCTACAGAGTCTGCATTTTTAACAAGGAAAACAGATTCATAGATGACTCATGTAATTAAAAAGTTAAAACCTCCCCCAAATGAGAATATGCACACAATTATCGTAGGAAATTGTGTCTTCCCATTTTTATGTTACGTACCAAACACATCATTGTCTCCTGAGGTCTCCTGGGAAAGGTCTCGCAGGTTTCTCTTTTTCTCAGACTCTCCTCTGTTCGTTTCGCCGTCCTGAAAAAAAACAAAACAAAGCATGACCCTTTCTTAAGATACTATGCTTTATCAACAAAATAATTTAATGCGTTTCTCTCCTTATGAGTTTTGTAGCAGATAATCACATTCTCATATATATCTGAAAGGTAAGAAATAGTCTTGGTTCAGGGTGGTTTTCTGCAGAGGATTCTGACTCTGGCTTGTCTTCTCTGTCTGAGCACACAAGCATTCTCTTGTTCCAGTGGGTATGTCTTCATACAAAAGAAACTGAACATCATCTGGATAAAATAAATTAGCTAGTCACCATCCCACGTACTCCAGGAGTGTGTCCACTCAGCGGCCATCCTGAGTGAGTGAACGCGTGGGTCGGAATTGACAATGAGCCTGACCTCCCTGAATTCTGCCTTTGACTGGAAGGCTTGGTGGGAGAACAGGCCCTTTCAGGGCAGAAATCGACGTTAACATCCACGTGGTGCCCCTGCGTGCACTGAGGATGGGGGGCAGGCACGATGTGGGGGGGCTTTTGCCCTGGGCCTGGGCACCAACTGCCGCCCTGGCGCTCCCCTGGGCATTTGCACCCTCAAGACATGGAGTTTCTTCCCTCTCCCCGGGTCCCACTTCTGCTCCTTTGTGGAACACTAACAGCACACCAGTGTGCACATTCCTTTTGAATTTAAAATTCTAAGTGCATAGAGTAGATGCGGTTCAGTTTCTTTCTATTTTTTGAAGCTATTTTATTAAATTATTTTAATATGGAATGCTTGCATTTGACATCAAGTTCAAAAGGCCCCGAGAGGGTCACAGTGAGAATGGCCCCTGTCCCCCAATCTCCCGCCACCCATGCCCCTGCGGGAGGCCCCCGGTGCTCCCAGCTTCTCCTGTTCTTTCACGATGGTCTGAGTGTCACTGACTAGGGGCCTGAAGAAACTCAAA